CAGAATATTCCATTGCTGCTTACTAGATGACATTGCTCTCTTCATGAGTGGCATAAACAGGAAGTAGGATGTTTCTCTTTTTATTTTTCAAATGGGATAAACGAGTATAGAAGCTATAAATCCTAAATGCTTCCCTGACAGTCCCAATGGCCATTCAGAGTGGTGTGCCACATAACTCTCCTCTCTGTCGCTTTAAATTTATGATCACACATCTCAGATAGTCACTCTGAGAATCAAGGCAATCCTACTGCACTTTCCTAGTAAGATCATTTTTCCATATGCAGCCTTGATGACTTCATTTTTCTTCTGTGTGCATAGAAGTCCCATGTCCCTTCTATTTCCTGCATTCTGGATCAGGCAGAATGGGCTAGATAATGCTGTAGTAACAGACATCCCTCAAATCTTCCCCCTGTGCTATTTTTTACTCATTCTACATATCATTTGTGGGTTGGCAGAGAATCGCCACCCATGAAAGTAGTAACTTGGAGATCTATGTAGCTACCAGCTGGTGACTAGCCAAGAAGAGCGTTTCAGAGGGTGTGGTACTGGCAACGAAGCGATAGCCATCATTTTTCTGGACACAAACAGTCACATGTTTCATCCAACATGAGGGGGCTAGGAAGCGTAATTCCCCACATTGCGTCCAAAAAGCTGGGTGATGGCAGAAGAGTCCAGAACTGTCTGGCAAGCAGCCCACGTGATCAGCACACATTCTTAGCTAGTGATTTGTTTTGCATTTTCACTGCGAAAAATTGGAGTGCTCCTCTCTCTCTCCCTCTAAAAACTCCCTGAAACTTTTACCTGTTTGCCTATTACCAAGTTTACAGTCCTCTGTGAATTTAGATGTTTCTCCTTCCAGTTTTTTTTTTAAAGATCTTATTTATTTATTTGACACAGAGAGAGAGAGAGAGAGAGAGAGAGATCACAAGTAGGCAGAGAGGCTGGCAGAGAGAGAGGGGGAAGTAGGCTCCCTGCTGAGCAGAGAGCCCAGTGCGGGGCTCGATCCCAAGATTGAGATCATGACCTGAGCCGAAGGCAAAGGCTTAACCCACTGAACCACCCAGGCACCCCTCTCCTTCCAGTTGATTCCAATATAGGAAGTATCTTTCTTCTGATCCAAATGGTTTTTGATCATATACTCCTGTCAGTAATAAATGTGAAGCGCATATAGTGGTGTCCTACTAAGTGTTTAAGAATGGGCTGTCTGGGAAGAAATAAACCAGCCTCGATTTTGAGTGTTTCCTGATGTCTGTGGTGTAAATACTTCTCCATGGCCGATTTCAGGCTACCATCTTCACATCAATGAATGCAGGTGGGAAGAAATGTACACAGCAGGTTTCCCAAGGGGATAGGAAGTGACTCCAGCGCACTACCGATAGTTCTCCATAAAATAGATGTATTATCTGTATCCTTGTGTCTGTTTTATAATAGACATGTATATGTGTCTGTATATATTACATGTGTGTATGTGTGTGTATATATCACACATATATGTACACATATTTTAGTAAGGCTTGATTTTTTTTTCTTTAGGTTAAAAACAAAACAGTTCTGCTATCTTCTCCCCACCACCTCTGGCGGGTGGCCACACGAACCCCACATGGTTCATTCACATACTTGCCTTGGGAGACTCCTGCTCTGGCCACTCAAGGATTTTGCTCCTGTAGTTCATGACCCCGTGTCCTACAGCATCCTCCTTTTCCCAAGAATATCCTGGCAGGCTCTGGTGTGTCCCCCCATCTTCCAGTGCTAAAGATGGTCCCCCAATCCGGTATTGGCCTTCATCGACAGCTGTGTTTGTCTGTTCCCCTTTGGAGCGTGACGCCCGAGACAGACATTCAGAACACGGCGCCTCTGCTGCTGCTCTGTCATGCCATCCACAGCTGACTCTCATCTGTGACTCTCATCGCCCCCATTCTGCTGAAGTCGCTCTTGTCGTGGTCATCAGTGATGTCCACGCTGCCACATCTCGGGGAGCATGTCTGTCCTCATCTCACTTGGCCTCCCAGGGGTGGTCGCCTACTCCATCCTTCTTGAAGTGCTCCTGTCTTTTGACTCCTGCATTAATACTCTCCTAGTTTTCTCCCTCAGAGATCTCTTTGCTCCTTTCCTCTGTGACTCAGGAAATGGCTGTGGGCCCCCTTCTGGGTTCACACGATTTCCCTGGGAGGGCCCATTCATTTTTAGGCCTTTAAAAACCACAGCTGTGTGGGGCACCTGGGTGGCTCAGTGTGTTAAGCCTCTGCCTCCGGCTCAGGTCATGATCTCAGGGTCCTGGGATTGAGCCCCACATCGGGCTCTCTGCTTAGCAGGGAGCCTGCTTCCCCCCCTCTTTCTGGGCTCCCCCCTCTGCCTGCCTCTCTGCCTGCTTGTCATCTCTCTCTCCATCAAATAAATAAATAAAATCTTTCAAAAAAACCAAACAAACCCACAGGTGTGCTGACAGCTGCCACCTGGATTTCCAGGTGTGTCTGTGCAGTGCCCCCTCCCCCTCCGCTTCCACCTGAAGATTTTGTAGGTATTTTAATGGTTACAGCTCCAAAATGGAGCTCCTCATTCCTTCCAATTCTTCCACTAACAGTCCGGTTTTATCCTAGTCTTTCTTATTTAAGAAAAATGGAGGAGTGCCTGGGTGGTGCAGTTGGTTAAGTGTCCAGCTCTTGGTTTCAGCTCGGGTCATGATCTCAGGCTCTGCACTTAGCACAGAGTTTGCTTGAGACGCTCACCCTCTGCCCCTCCTCCTTGTGCATCCATGCATTCTCTCTCTCTCTCTCTCTCTCTCTCAAATAGATAGATAAATCTCTAAAAAAAAAAAAATGGTAAGCTGTTTATTCAGTTATTAAATACAGAAACCTGAGAGTCATCCGGAACTGCTTTCCTTTTTTTCACCCTCACGTTAAGTCTGTAAGCACTGCCTGTGCTCTGCCTATAAAATGCGTATTTCACCTTTCCATTTATCTCTGTCTCAGATTTGGACCATTGTTGCTTTTCTCCTCAACGATTGTAATAGCACCTAACAGGATTTCTGCTTTCATGTTTGGCTCTTTCCAGTCTGTGCCCGATATTGTAACTTAGGAGTGATTTTTATAAAATGTAAATCGAATTACTCTTCTCCCCTTGGTTCCTCTAGCGCACTTCGAGTCAAATCCCGATTCCCTGCTTTGACCTGCCAGGCTCTGTGTGGTCCAGCCTCTGCCTTCCCTTCAACCTCACTGCGTGTCACTCTGCCTTTGGCTTTTTTGCTCTAGTAAAACAGGCCTTCTTTATGTCTCTAGAACAGTCTGGTCTCCCTCCTCAGCATCTTTGTGGTTTTTGGTCCCTTCCCCGGGAAACTTTCTCCCCAGCTTGTCACATGGCTGGCACCTCCTTTTCCTGAAGATCCCAGCTTAAAGGCCAAGTCCGTAGAGAGTCTTCCCTCATCTGTGACATATTTCCCAGTGGTTTGTTTCTGTCCTAGTACTTAATGCAATTTGAGATCGCTTTCCCTTATTTATTACCTGATCTGGTAGAAGGCTCTGTGAGGGCAGGAACCTTATCTCTGTCTCATGTTTGTTGGGTGCTCTGGAGACATACATTGAATGGAAAAAATGTATGGAGGAATAAATAGTCTTGCCTTGTTTATCATATAAACGGTAATCATTGAATGAAGATAAAGAAGGAACGAGTCTTAAAAATGGTGCGCTGTACAGGACTGTGGAGGTACTGATCAGATTAAACTTTACAAGAGTAAAAGGTAAAATCCTGTGCTTTGGTTAAAAAAAAAAAGTCCATTTCATTGTGCAGAATCAGGGAACTCTGGCTTGTCACCCATTCATAAGTCCTAGGAGCCAGAAGTGGTGGCTGAACAGGTAATGAAGAATTTATTGCCACTGTGGCAAGAAATCCGTATGTTTCCATATTAGAGGAGGGATCATCTGACAGTATTCTCCTCCAGTGACACCAACAGAATGATCACAGCTTTCTCAATCGCAGTGGACCACCTCGTTTATGCACTCATTCATTCAACATTTACTGAATACATTCTGGGCACTAGTATTGTTGTTGTAAGCAAAATTCTCCAGGCTCTAGTGTTCATGGGACTTGGTAACTAATTCCCAATGAGAAGTGATTTCTCCTTCAGGGAAAGTATCAGAGGAGATAGCAGTTCGTCGTTGATTGGGAGGCAGGGCAATCTTGTGGTTCAGAACTCCCACCCCGGAACCAGACTCAAGCCCAGAGGCTTCAAAGCCCGGTTCCATTGGGTACCAACACTTGACTTTGGGCAAGTGTTTACAGTGTCTCTGTGCTTCCAGATTCCCCTGTAGCAACCAGAGACAGTAACAGTACCACTGCATAAGGCTGTGAGCGGCAAATGAGTCCACGTGTCTAAATCATTTAGAATAATACCCAGCCCTTAGTAAGCACTTAATAAATAGGTGGTAAGCCATTAATTAATAAAATTGGGGTGTCTGGAGGGCCAATGTTTGGAAGACAGATTGACGGCAGGGAGAAGTGGCCGTAGACGGAGCCGGGCAGATCAGAGCACAAATGATTATTATTTTGTTTATAGTAAAGATGAATCCCTTGAGCTGGCACTTGAAAATCTTGACCGGATGGTCGATGGCCTTTGTTTCACGTGACCTTCCACATGAGGCTGGAGAGATACGGGTCCTGTTCAGAAATGTTACCTGCCAGTTGTTTGTTTGTTTGTTTGTTTTTCCCCCTCCGAAACGCTGACAGAGCATCACAGTTCTGGAAATGATAAACTCCCAGCGCTCCACGAGCTCCTCTTTTTTTTTTTTTTTAAGATTTTATTTATTGATTTGACCGACAGAGATCACAATTAGGCAGAGAGGCCGGCAGAGAGAGAGGGGGAAGCAGGCTCCCCGCCGAGCAGAGAGCCCGATGTGGGGCTCGATCCCAGAACCCTGAGATCATGACCTGAGCTGAAGGCAGAGGCTTAACCCACTGAGCCACCCAGGCGCCCCTGAACCCCTCTTCTTGCTTCGGTTTTGTTTCAGTGGCAGCTGAAGTACCCGAAACTGATTCTCCGCGAGGCGGGCAGCGTCCCCGAGGAGCTCCACAAGGAGGTGCAGGAAGCCTTCCTCACGCTGCACAAGCACGGCTGCTTCTTTCGGGACCTGGTCAGGATCCAGGGCAAAGACCTGCTCACGCCCGTGTCGCGCATCCTCATCGGCAACCCTGGCTACACCTACAAGTACCTCAACACCAGGCTGTTCACGGTGCCTTGGCCGATGAAGGGCACGAGCCCCAAGTACGACGAGCCAGACATCGGGGCCGCCTGTCAGACCTTCCTCAAGCTCAACGACTACCTGCAGACAGAGACGGTCCAGGCTTTGGAAGAACTTGCGTGCAAGGAGAAAGCCAACATCGATGCCGTGCCCGTGTGCATAGGTCCAGACTTCCCCAGGGTCGGGATGGGGTCCTTTGACGGGCAGGACGAGCTGGACATGAAGAACAGAGCCGCCTACAACGTCACTTTGTTGAATTTCATGGATCCCCAGAAAATGCCCTACCTGAAGGAGGAGCCTTACTTCGGCATGGGGAAGATGGCCGTGAGCTGGCACCACGACGAGAATCTGGTGGAACGCTCGGCGGTGGCCGTGTACAGCTACAGCTGTGAAGAAGGTACAGTGCACTCCGGGGACACACAGCCCTGGAGGCTCTGGAGGCGTGTGTGTGTGTGCATGTGTGTGTGTGTGTGTACACGTGCAAGGGTGTCGCGTGTCTTTCCTCAGTTTGCGACCCCCAGGTATCTGCAGAGCGTACATCTTCTCATCTAGCACTCTTGTCTCGCTCATTGCCACACTGGGCTCCCATCGAATATTTCTGAGCGTAAGCACTGCTGTCACTTCGTCTTTCTCATGCCCGGGAGAGCCACGTCTTGGTTTCACACAGCCAACTGCCTCTCCGTACAGCTCGGCGTACACTGTACAGTTGCTATAATTAACTTGCTGATAAAGGGCTGGGAAAACAAAAAATCTGTCAAATCTTTCCAGGTTCCCACAGGTGCACATTTCCAGCCTTGCCAAAATACTCTATTGTGGTTGACATCACTGTCTTGATGGGAGTGATTTGTCAAATACGGACTTGTTCTTGGCTTCACAGAGATTTGACTACTGTCCTTCCTTGCCAGAAACAGTCGAAGTGGGTTCTGTAAGCAGACAGTCGCCTGTTTTTAAAGAAAACGCTCCAGCCTTCCCCCTCCACCCCCTCCCCCAAATCAGCTCTGCAGTTTTAGACCTAAAAGGGGTGCTGTGGGCAAACTTGTCCTTGAAGTTTCTGAAATTTGGCCCCCTTGGAACAGAGATCAGAGGCTACCTTTTTTGTGGCCTCCTGGAACTTTCCTCCTTCTTTTGTTCCATTTCTGTGTGTTTAGGGTCTCCATTGTTTTTCAGCCCGGGGATATAAAAAGACAGTTGAGCAAATCCAAAACAAAACAGTTGAGGGCATGCATGACCATTGCTGACTTTGTTCTTTGCCCGATCATTTGACAAAGGAATACAAGACACCAGTATTAGCTTTGCTGTCTCTTTATCTCTTCTACCTGTTTATTGAAAGATGCTTGGAAAACCAGAGTTCTAGACATCCCATCAGGGAACGAACTGGAGCTTTGGAGGGTCTGTGCCTTCCGAAAACTGTTTTTTTTTTTTTTTTTTTTTTGTTTTTTAAAGATTTTATTTATTTATTTGACAGAGAGAGATCACAAGTAGACGGAGAGGCAGGCAGAGAGAGAGAGAGAGAGGGAAGCAGGCACCCTGCTGAGCAGAGAGCCCGATGCGAGACTCGATCCCAGAACCCTGAGATCTTGACCTGAGCCGAAGGCAGCGGCTTAATCCACTGAGCCACCCAGGTGCCCCCGAAAACTGTTTTTTAATTGGAGGTCATTATCGCTTTGTATGCTCTTTGTTTATGAAAATGACTGCTTTATGAAAGGGGTTTTAAAAAGAAGTTCTCATGATTCTCTTTAAATTTCTTCCCATTTCCCCATCTCCGACATTTCCTCAGGACAGCTAAAATATCTTCTAGCTTTACCTCACGTCTTCAGCCCGGAACAAGGAACTAGTTTAGTGGTTGGAAATTTCACCAGTTTCCCTGGCACCTCAAATAATGATGCTGACCTAAGAAAATTGCTTGAAGGGGATTTGATGCTGTCCTAATGGAAAGAACTGAGATCCTCTGATCTTTACTAAGGCGTTGCCAGGGATTTAAGAACGATCACATCCAAGAACTCTGGTGGGAAGGAACAATGGATCCCGTTTGTTAGTTTCCTTCTGAAGCAGGCAGCTCTCTGAAGCCAAGGCCGTTGAGGCCGTGGTATGTGATAGCTCAAACCATGACAAAGATGTCTTTGTGCTCCCACCTCCTCTCAGCCCTACAGTTTAATAGTCCTTTTGTACTCCCAGAGCGTGGGTGCTCGAGTCTTTTTTGAAACCTAGAATATTGTTCAGAAAGGAATTTAAATTTTGAATGAATGCTTTCTGTGGTCGGGAGTAGTTAAGACTGATAAAGTATACAAGTATACATAAACACATAAAGGTTTATCCTTGCAACTGTCATCTGGAGGAGGAATTGCGGAATTAGAATCCGTAAGAGCAGCGGGATTCCTTTGTTCTCTTAGAACAAATCCCAGAGAATCCCAGAACTCCATCTAATAATAAAAACTGCAGCGCTGGGAGCTCTCATTTATTGAGCACCTACTCTGTGCAGAGTGTTGATATAAGCATTCACACGTATTAACCTGCTTTCTTTTTATAACAGCCCTGTCAATCAATACTGCTATTTCCTCATTTTACAGGTAAGAACACTGAGGCATAAAGGGATGATTAACTTTTCCATGGGTATGTAGCTAGTAATCAGCAGAGGTGGGATTCGAACCCAGACATTCTGGCTTCAGAGTTCTAACAGTTAAGGCTAACTGCCTTAAGAGCATATTTTCCTATTCTTGCAGTATGGCTCCCTCTGGCATTTGGGTTTTTAAAATATCCACCTCTGGAAAGGTAAAGGGAATGTTCTCCTTGCTCTCGCTAGCAGGTCCAGTATTCTCTGCCCTCTGCCTGCCACCTCTCTTCTCTCCCCCTGCAACATCTGCTTGTAGCTTCCTACACATGCTCTCGGGGTTGGAATGCATTAGATAAGCTTATTCTGTGAAATGGAACCTCTCTCTGGGTCTCCAGTTGTGTGTGTGACATCGAGTCAGATGATTTCCAAAGCAAGTGCCTTGAAACTTTTTGACAAGTGATAGGTTTACCTCTCTAGCCTCCCTGTAATCCTGCCAGAGGTATGGTAAAGGTGGCCTCGAAGAGAGCCATTTGGGTTAAAAATCATGGTCGGGCTTAGGAAGGGCTTAAAGCTGGCAAAGAGAATGGGAATTTCAGACCATGGTACTGTTTTCTGAGTCTCTGAACATGTTTGCCAGGCAATTGCTAAGGGAAGTTCAGTTGGCTGTTCTAGACAGTAGGGAGGCTCCAGAGGTAAACCAAATGCCCTTTTTGCCTTGAAAGGACAGGTAAAGTAAAGTGTGCTCCTGTGATTGTAATTAAGCCATCAGGAAATGTGAGACCTGGAAAGAGACTTTTGAAATCACCTTGTTCAAGCATCTCATTTTGTAGATGAAGACACTCAGGCAGGGAGAACGGCAGTGACGTGTTCAAGGTCACGTAGTTCCCTAGCGACAAGGAAGTGTGACATGCCACAGGAGTTCATGTAAAATGCATTGGGAGTTCAGAACAGACGAGATTACTTCCTGCTGAAATTAAATTCAGGTGAAGCTTAAGATCCTTCAGGACTTTGCTCTCAATACCTTTTCCCATTGAAATCTTTCTGTAGATTTATAATGAGCCAGTCATCCCTCTTTGGTTTATTTCTGTGAGTGGAGGTCATTGAGAAGTAATTTGTATAGGATACGTGTAATTATATACTAAATTCATTGGCTTCACAAGCAGAGCTAGTTAATAGATATCCCCAGTAAGAAGATTGAAATGGTACAACATTTAATCAGGAATGGCTTCAGGGAATCGTGTGTAAATTGGCAGAGTATTTGATTTTCCAGTGCTGGCTTTGCCGGCAATGCTCGTTACTCTTGGATCTTAAAAACCAAAAAACCCCAAACATATATACACACATGTGCACAAATTCTATCAGAGAACACATGAACAACTCCTTGTTTAATGTAGTTCTACACCTTGTTCTCTGACTTGAATACTTTCAGAAGGACCAGGTAAATAATCATTGGTTACTGTTTTTTGTACATTTGGAAGGAAACGCTTTCTGCAACATTGTCTTTCTAGGAAAAGCAATTCTTAAGAATTTTCACTAGTGCCAAGTATTGCAGATTCTTCGTATTGTTTCCCAGATTTCCCAGGGAGGGTGAAAGGAGGAAAAGGGAGAAAAGCCAATCCATGATGGTGAGTATGCAATTCTCTGATTCTGCTGAAAGCAGAGACTTCGTAATAATTTTCTTAGATTCTAGGACTCCCATTTCATGTCTTTGACTCAGGAAAAGTTGAATTCATTTAAGGCGAGAAATTCGTTACCGTACTTTACATTGAAATGAGTAGCTTCATCTTCCTTAGCTCATCTTTGGCAGCATGAAAGGTTAGACAGTAACTGCAGCTAGGAGTTTGGGAGCATTCATAATTGAAAAAAAAAAAATGCTGTGATATTTAATGTTTTCCCATGATTCCTGGCATCCCTGTCTGAGGTCTCAAAGCTTGTTTGACTTTGCTTCATTGTATCATGCCATGTGCTGTTTTGTTTTTTTTTAAAGATTTATTTATTTATTTTAGAAAGCAAAGTGGGGAGGGGCCGAGGGAGAGGGAGAGAGAGAGAAAATCTCAAGCCGTTCCACTACACGTGGAGCCTGACTGACTCGGGGCTCATAACCCCAAGATCATGACCTGAACTGAAATCAGCAGTTGGATGCCCATCCGACTGAGCCACCCAAGCATCCCTGTTCGTTATTTGTGAAGTCACTTACATTGTTCAGTAAAACTCGTTTGGTGGTCTCAGTCACATTTAATCCCTGTGGAAGTATTTATGCATTGAAGAATAAGCATCTGCTGTTTGGCAAGCACTCTTCTAGATGCTGAGCTTACAGCCACCAGCAAAAATCCCTGTCCTCACAGAGCTTATGTTTTAGCAAGGAGAGAGAACACAAATGAACAAGAAGGTTGTAAACAAGGGGGAGGCACAGGTGTACAGTTTTAAGTAGGAGAGTAGGCTTCCTTATGAAGGTCATGTTTGAGCTGAGCCTGGAAGGAGAGAGTGAGTGGGAGGAGACCAGCCTGGGTAGAGGGAATATGGAAGGCCCAGAGATGGAACGTGATGTTGAGGTATTTCAGAAGCAGCAAGCAGGGGTAGAATTGAGTGAGAAGAGGGGGAGTAACAGCGGTGAAGACGGAGAGGAATGACTAAGGGTGCAGAGTGGGCGGAAGCTATTACAGAAGTAATACTGTAACACAAGGTACTGGGCTTGTCTGTTGCATGGCATGAAATAGGAGCCATTGTGGTTTTGAGTGGAAGGAGGGAGGCAGCGCTGGAAGTAGGAGAAAGAGGCGATGGTCATAATCCAGAGAAGGGGGGCCGGATTAGAAGAGGCAGAGGTGATGAGGAATGTTTGTATGATG